CAGGTCTCAAATCGAAGTGAAGGATGTGGAAGTGAAAATATTCTGTGAATCTCATTTATCGAGGTATGATACAGAGGCAATGGGGGACTAAACTGTCCAGAAGCGAGGAAAGGACTGAAACTTGTCCTCACATATTCTTAAAGGAAAAGTGATACTGAATGTCAGTAAAGGAAAGGTAATCACCAGTTAAACTGAAAAGATGAGCCTTGATACACTTTTCACACTAGTTAAATTGAAAAGAAAATTATACAGGACATGACAGAGAAATATAATAAGAAATAGAAACATCCTGGGGCGCCTGGGTGGCTCAGTGGGTTAAAGCCTCTGCCTTCGGCCCTAGTCATGGTCCCAGGGTCCTGGGATCAAGCCCTGCATCGGGCTCTCTGCTCAGCAGGGAGCCTGCTTCCTCCTCTCTCTCTCTCTCTGCCTGCCTCTCTGCCTGCTTGTGATCTCTATCTGTCAAATAAATAAATAAAAAATCTAAAAAAAAAAAAAAGAAATAGAAACATCCAGAATGAGTGGCAGAACTCAGGTAGGAATTAGAAATAAAAACATCATTTTAGGAATGAAGACTCGACAAGGAGACTAGGAGTAAATAAAAGTGTCAGATAATGCCTTAAGAGAAAATGATTGAAAATTAAATTAAAAATGTGAAAAAAAATAAAAAGATTTTGAGGGAAGGTGACTAATATTAAGAAAAAGAAGATCTAACACAAAGACAATAGTAGTTTCTGAGGAAAGAAACCAAAGGAATAGAGCAAGAACAAAAATGATAAAGATATTATTGAAAAAAACGGAAACTGTCTATTGAAAGAGCACGCTCTATACCTAAGAATGACCAACACCAGCATGTGGTCTAGTAAAATTTCTTGATGTTAAAGGGAAAAAAATTAGGAGGTATCTAGGCAAAAAGACGATGTGACCTATAAGGAAAAGAAAATTAGACTCTCACAAGATATTTTTCAGCAATGCTTTAGGTCATAAGAAAATGGAGCACCACACTTCAGGCTCTCAAGAAAAGTAAGTCAGGGATTATTATATCTAACAAAACTGATTACTAAGCATAAAAGGCACAGATGTTTCCAACATTCAAGAACATTCAAAATTATGTTTTCCAGGAGTTCTTCCTGAGAACTATTAAAGAACTAGCGTTAGCCAACTAAAATGACTAAGAGGCCTCAGTATAAGAGCCGATGGTGAGCATTAAATATGTACTGCTTATGGAACAAGACCAAAGGAGGATTAGGAGGAAGAAAGTATAGTTTGTCACAGCTGAACGTGCTCACGATATAGGTAGAGAACAGAGGAAATGGGAGAGTAGTAGTAGGAAAATGTTGAATTCTTCAGCAATCACATTGGGGATGGTAGTATTTAAATTGTGTGTACAACATAGGATAAGTGAAATGAATAATTTTGGAGTATTTTGCTCCCCCACTCTCCTCTATACTTGTGAACCAGGATTCTGGATGTGGAAGTAAGGAGATGCAGATGTGATACAGAAAAAGTTAAGTAAGATCACCTATATTGGAATTTTTTAAAGTATCAGAATGAACTCACGACTTATTTTATCCTTAAAATATGTATTCTTTAGCTCTGTCCTATGAAAAGGTCCCAAAATGACCAAGACAGTAGCGATGAACATCCTTAGCACTCAGATTGTTTTCTGTAAATATCATTCCTAAAAGGAACTAAAGGAACAAGGGCTTATTCTGGGTCTAGACTAGGAAACACAGACAATGACCCTAGAATAATTTTGTCACACAACACTAGCAACATGTGGAATGAATGCAGGGTAAGGATTGGTGCTCAGAAAACAGAATATATGCAATCACCTAGGCCCTTTTTAAGTTCTATAGCAAGGCATATTTGAGCTGGGTACATGGGACAGAGTGGACAATGCACCAGGAAAAGGACCTGGATGACTTCCTCTGCATATTTGTAGGGAAATTCTGAGGGGTTAGAGACCAGCTTTTACATCTGATTATATAAAAATGGGAATTTCCTGGCCAGAAAAATGGCTAATAGGCAAGAGTTTAGTGAGAATAACTCATCTAGTTGTGTGGACATCTAAGCTAGAGCAGTGCTACCCAAACTTTAATGTGCAAGAATTACTAGATGGATTTTGCTAATATGACAGTTTGACTCAGTAAGTAGGGGCTGGGACCTAAGATTTTACCTAGTAAAACAGAATTAGGATTTCTGAATTCAAAGAAGCCTAGCTAACTTTTGCTGCTAAGCAACTAAAAAGAGAGAACAAGTTTCCAGTACCATGCTTGTTTGTTTTTCCACCCTTCTGTAAGTAAAACCTAAAAATATGTGGTTGGGTAGGATACGCCTGAGCAGTCTGGAAAAGGGAGGCCTTGTCATGTTAAAAAGTTTAGTCAAATTGCTGATTACAATAATCAGGAAGGTAGACAATTTCCCTATCTAACTTGTAGCCCTAGTGGAAGTTTATAGAAAGAGACAGTGTGTTTGGTTGCTTCTTTTGCTTTCAGCAAGGTATTACAAATAAAGCTCAAAGTCAGGGTGAAAAGCAAAACAGAACATCTGGTAATTCCTGCTTCACTAAGTTGAAAAAGCCAGCTGCTTACGTACCCCTAAATAGCAGAAGAGATTTGCCTTAGAGATTTCTCATAGCCCTTTAAAAGACTTTTTGACAAACACAAATGGGCAAAAAAGCAACAGAAAACAAAGATAAACTGAAGCAAAAATCAAATTAATGGAGTTCCCTTCTCACTTAAGCCTGTTATTTCAGATAACCTCAAGACTGTCATCATTAAAAAGATATTAAGAAAGGTGTTAGCGTGGAAAACAGGAAATAGGTCACATTTAACAACTATTTCTAGAAACAGCTGTGGGGTGTAGTTACCGGAACCTGAAACTGTCTGGAAGCAGTTTACTAAATATTCAATGAAAACAACAACAACACTGAAAAACCTGGCCTACAAAAGCTCTTGATCCAAGTCCAAAAGCTTCCCTTCAAAGAGGGAATATTCTTCAACATCCAGGTAACTTGCATTCTTAGGGCAAAACTGGGGCCCAGAGTGTAAGAGGTAATTGAGATCCTCTCAAAGAGCAGAACAAGAGTAACCAAAAAACTTACTCCCTACAAGGGTAGGGGTATTTCTCGTTCCTTCCCCCAGATTCCACCATTGCTTTGGAGAGGCTATGTGTTTCACATTCCACTTTTGTTGAGTTTTAAGTGTGCTTATCCTGCTCCTGTTCCACCCGTTTTGTATTACACACGTAGGCATGAGGCAGATAATTTGTTTACAGTGTGTGTGACCCTGGGCCATGAAAAGACATGTTCCAGTCTGATGGAGGGCTGTGCATCATCAGACAGCCTGCTTTTTAAGTTGGCATAGAAACTGAGTAGGGAATTGATCGCTTTTTTTTTTTTTTTTAAGATTTTATTTATTTGACAGAGAAACACAGTGAGAGAGCGAACACAAGCAGGGGGAAAGGGAGAAGCAGGCTTCCCACGGAGCCCGACGTGGAGCTCGATCCCAGGATCCTGGAATCCTGACCTGAGCCGAAGGAGACACCTAAGGAGCGAGGCACCCAGGCGCCCCAATCTCTCTTCTGGAAGGGTAGGCGCGTTCTACTGTAAGAAGGACTCACACAGATACTGAGGTGATCAGAGGGACAGACTGAGTAGATACGGACTGTCCCTTTCAACCCATCCTCTTTTCCTTAGGCAAAGGGTTGCCTCCCTGGAAACCAAATTTCCAGCCTCACGGCTGCTAAGCCTGGTCATGTGACTAGGTTCTTGCCAAGGGACTGGTATCAGAACTGGTACCAGAACTGACGCAGGCAATCTCCACTTTACTTTCTTCTTCTTCTTCTTCTTCTTTTTTTTTTTTTTCATTTGACACAGAGATCACAAGCAGGCAGAGAGGCAGGCGGGGGGTTGGTGGGTGGGGAGAGCAGGCTCCCCGCTGAGCAGAGAGCCCAACGCGGGACTCGATCCAAGGACCCCAGGATCACGACGCGAGCCGCAGGCAGAGGCTCAGCCACCGACCCCCCGGCGCCCCCACATTACTTTCTTAAGGCATTTCCTTGTGCTCGTCTTGCGGCCGCTCCCTTCCGACAGAGGGAACCTCCATTCACCGCACACCGGGAGGGCAACTCCCAAGTCTGAAAGCCGCGGCGGGCAAGGCCAGAAGACAGAGCGTCGCTGAGAGGCTGGTGCCTGCAGCACCGGCGACCGATGACCAACATGAAGCGCCCGGCTGGACGCCCGAGCGGCCCGCGGCCGTCCCGCCGCAATACTCCGCAGCAGAAGAGGGCGGCGAGGAAGCGCTGCGGCCGTGCGCGGCCCGGTCTCCCCTCAGCGAACGAGAGCGAGGGGAACGGCGACACGGGGTGTCGTCGTCCGCGAGCGCCAGGAGGGGCGACAGTTTGCACGCACGTGCAGACGGCGTCCCGTGAGGACCCGTGAGGGAGCGGCGCCGTCCGCGCGCCGGTGGGACGCTCGGTGTCCCCGCCACAGCGGCCGCTTCGCGGGGGAAGGGACTGCCGCGGACAAACTCGCCCAGACCACGCCCGCAGAGGCCCGTCGCGACAAACCGGCTACACCGCCAGCGCAGAAACACGCGCATCCACACCGCGTCTAGACAGCGCCGCCTCGGGGAACCGGACGCGGGAACAGCTCGAGGCGGCAACGCGCGCCGCTCCAGCGCTGCCTCACAGAGCGGGCGGCCGCCATCCACGCCCGAGCCACACGCGGAACTGCGCGACGACGGGAGGGGATTCCGGTCCCCGGCGCTTCCTGGAGTCGCACAAGCAACACGCCCTGGACCTCCTCCGCCAATCCCAAGTCAGGGCGCGCGGACCTGAGCCCGCGGGAGGCTCCTGGGCGGGCCTGGGACTCGCACGGAGCTTCCGTCCCGCGACTCCGCGGACCGGCCTGCGCGGGCTCGCACGCCCGGCGCTCTGGCCCACACAGTCGCTACTCTATGGCACCTCGGGTTCCCTCTAGCTGCAAGCTGGAGGACTGCAACTCGTTTCTCGGCGGCGGCGCGAGGCCCGGCAGCCTCTGCTGAGCTGGAAGAAAGATGGCGGCAGCCGTGCGGCAGGACTTAGCCCAGCTCATGAATTCGAGCGGCTCTCACAAAGATCTGGCGGGCAAGTGAGTGTCTCCCGGGGCCCTGGGCGGTCGGGAGGGAAGCCGTGGACCGGTTCGCGGGGTGACGGCTGCTTCGGGATGTGGTGCGGCCTGACGATCAAGGGGGCGGGCCTGAGGTCGTCTGCCGACGCCCAGACGGGAGCAGAAAGCCGGCGGGGACCTTACGCCGGGAACCCCGAGGGCGGCCGACGCGGGGCTGCCGTCAGCTTGTTCGGGCTTGGGGAGCACCCTGACCTGCTCGTTGAGACTCTGGAAGCACGGCCCGAGGGACGACTGCCCCCATGGCCTTCATTGTCGGCCCCGGTGCCTCTGCATCGCTGCGGGCCCTCACACCGAATCTGCTCGCTCTTCGGACTTTTTTTTTTTTTTTAATTGGGGGAAATGTGTCTTCTGGGACCTCGATGTAGAGCTTCCCGGGAGGTGGCTTTTCGAGCCCGCGGGGCGGAGGAGGTATGGCCGCTCCCGTCTGCGGCCAGAGCCGCCTGGACCATCTTCTGCGAGTCCTTGTGTGTGGGCTTCTCTCCGCCGCCGACTCTGAGGAGGGGCGCCTCCGCGGAACGCCCTCGCGACGTGAGTCAGGGAGCCTCGGGTAGGGGCGTTCGCAGGAACCCGAGTTGTGTAGGAATTCTGCGGAGTTTGTGTGGAAGGCTTAGACCCGTTCCACGTTAAAACAGTGACATGTGCCTGTCACGCAGGCGGTCCCAGTCGTGTTAGCCGAGGTAGTGGGCAGGTGGGTCAGCAACGGTCCGATTCTCCTCGTACGTCATGCGGCACCGTCTGTGGTAGCGAACTCGCGTTCCGGTGAGAGGGCGCGTCCAGTGTGACGGCGCCGACCGTGCGGGTCTCCATGAGCGGATACACCTGCCCTCACCTCGGCCGTGTTCTGTGGAAACTCTGCTGCCTTTCCTCTGGTGGCAGATGTCTGGCTCTCGCAGGGGAAATCTAGCTGTGTCCCGTGGGTTTAGCTGTTGTGTACTGCAGTTTCCTTCTCAGGAAAATGGGGGTAACAGGACGTACTCTTGTCTGAGGACCAACGAGTGAGTGTGTGTCACTTAGAACAGTACCTGAGGCTCCGTGCCGCAGAATTGTCTTTGTTACTATTGTTAGAAAGCGGTTAGTCAGTACGTGTATTGACTTATTCCATGGGTTGTAAATTAGGTGAATGTGTCTTCATGGTTTAACCCTTTATCCGTGTAATGTTTAGATTTGGATGAAAGTAAAATGATGATGTGTTTTTCCCCATGCTCAGCTTACATTTCCCCCATGCTTTGCTCTGTTTTTTGTTTTCTTGAAGAACATGAGGTACATTCTTTATCAGAAGAGATAGAGGTTTTCAAGTATTCGTAGAATTCTGAAACTTAAGCTAAGAATTCACGTCCTCAGCTGTGAATTGCAGGTAAACAATAGTACTATGTTATAGGTCCTTTAGTTATGTATTCCTGTGTAACAAACCGAAAACTTAGTGGTGTGAAACAACTACTCCTTTTCAGGGTTTTTTGGGGGTGACTGGACTGTTGTGCTGGCCTAAGCCAGGCCTCCTGGTGCAGGTGCAGAGTCAGCCCGCAGCTCAGTTGGGGCTGGCGAAGCTAAAACAGACTCACATATGCATCAGGCTGCTGCTGGCGGAGTCCGTCTCTCCACATGGTCTCACATTCAGTTGTTCCTTACAGGGCCATAGACGTGTTCCAAAAGGGTGAGAGTGGAAGCCGCCACACGTAAGGCTAGCCATGGAAATCTCACAATGTCGGTTCTCTAAAACAGGTCAAAGAAAATCACCAGACCAGTCCAGATTCAAGGGGAGGAAAAATGGAGCCTACCTCTTTCTGGGAGAAGTGGCCAAGTTACATTAGAAGGGAAATTCTATAAAATAAAGGAAAGGAAATGCAGAAAGGAAAATTCTATAAAAATAGGACTTTTTTTTTTTTTTTTTTTGGTATTCCTACTTCTTGATAGAGAAGGTACCGAGAAGAGGATAGCAGGCCTTTGGAGTCTAAAGATTTCATTTTACAAGAAGCTGTTAGCATAGAGAAGAGAGGGTAACGGGAGACCTTCTAGCTCTCTTTGACTATTAGGCTGTTTTGCCAGGGCGCCTGGGTGGCTCAGTCAGTTAAGTATCTGCCTTGTGCTCAGGTCATGATCTCAGGGTCCTGGGATCAGATACTGCATCCGGCTCTTTGCTCACTGGGGAGCCTGCTTCTCTCTCTCCCGCTCCCTCTGCTTGTGCTCTCTTTTTCTGTCAAATAAATAAATCTTAAAAAAGAAAGCCTGTTTTGTAGAAAAGAAAATAGACTCCTTTGCCTTACAGAGATAGACTTTTGATTAGAACTTTTTAATAATAGAATAGAATAGAACTGTCAAAAACGGAAGACACGTACACACTAAGTAATACACACTATGGACTCTCAAGGGCTCCTTATAACACAGAGTCTCTAATTCTTTGTTATTCCCGCACACAGCAGTTTTAGTGGTTCCGATCTCAAGAGTGAAGTTCCCTAACGTCTGGTGTTTACCATGTGCCAAGCACATCGTTATTTACATTTTTTAATCCTTGAGTAATATTTACATTGCATATGAGGAAACTAAAGTATGGAGGTGAAATACCTTGCTTGAGGTCACATAGCTTGTGGCAATGCTGTAATTCAACCTGTATGCTTGGCTCATAGCTCTTGACTCTAAACACATCTACCTTTTGGCCTTAAACTATCTTCCCCGAACTAGACTACATTTCAGATAGTGATTTTTTTTGCAGGGGCCTTAAAATACCTATCTGCCTCCACTCTTTTCCACTTAACACTACATTGAAATATTTAGAATACTTAAAGATCAACCTCATTTAGGAAATTCTTTTTTTTAGCATTTTAAATTTTAAATAAAATTAAAATTTGCTGAGACATCAGTTACTCTTACTGAGATTCTCTCATATTATCTTTTTCTTTTTAAAAAATTTTTCTTATTTAAATTCAATTTAGTTAACATGTAACGTGTTATTAGTTTCAGAGGTAGAATTCAGTCATTCATCAGTTGCCTCTAACACCCAGTGCTCATTTCATCAAGTACACTCCTTACTCCCCATCACCCAATTACTTCATCCTCCCACCCTCAGTTTGTTTCTTACAGCTAAGAGTCTCTTATCGTTTGCCTCGTCTGTTTTTATCTTATTTTTCTTTCCCTTCCCCTGTGTTCATCTGTTTTGTTTCTGAAATTCCACATATGAGTGAAATCATATGTTATTTGTCTTTCTCTAACCAACTTACTTCGCTTAGCTAAGTAAACTCTAGTTCTGTCTGTGTGGTTATAAATGGCAAAATTTCATTCTTCTTGACAACTTAGTAATATTCCTGTGTGTGTGTGTGTGTGTGTGTGTGTGTGTGTGTGTGTACATACGTACCACATCTTCTTTTTTTTTTAAATTATTTATTTATTTATTTGACAGAGATCACAAGTAGGCAGAGAGGTAGGCAGAGACGGGGGGGAAGCAGGCTCCTTGCTGAGCAGAGAGCCCGATGCGGGGCTCGATCCCAGGACCCTGAGATCATGACCTGAGCCAAAGGCAGAGGCCCAACCCACTGAGCCACCCAGGTGCTCCGTACCACATCTTCTTTATCCATTCATCTGTCGATGGCCCTCTGGGCTCTTTCCATAGTTTGGCTATGGTGGACATTGCTGCTATAAACATTGGGGTGCACATGTTCTTTTGACTCACTGTTTTTGTATCTTTGGGTAAATACCCAGTAGTGCGATTGCTGGGTCATAGGGTAGCTCTATTTTTAACTTTTTGAGGAACCTCCATGCTGTTTTCCAGAGTGGCTGCACAGGCTTGCATTCCCACCAACAGTGTAGGAGGGTTCCCCTTTCTCTGCATCCTCGCCGACATGTATTGTTTCCTCAGTGGTTAATTTAGTTATTCTGACCCGTGTGAGGTGGTATCTCATTGTGGTTTTGGTTTATAATTTTAATTTTATTAAAATTAATAAATAATTTATTATTTCTCCTAGGTATTATCGTATTTAATTTTCTGAAACTTCTTTGTGATGTGTCTATGTGGATTTGTTAAATCTCTGTCAGTTGGGTTTTGCTGTGAGATAAACCACTCGAAAACTTAGTGGATTAAAACAACAAGCATTTACTTTGCTTATAATTTGTTGGTGGGCAGGGCCCAGCTGGGTGGTTCTCTGTCCTGTGTGGTCTGGATCCCACATGTACCTCTCACTTTTGCCTGCTGTCCGCTGCAGGTCCGGCAGGCACCGCTGCTGTGCTGTGTTGGTGGGGCAGGTGGCGGTGACTGGGCTGGGTGTTTCGTTATCCAGCAGGTTAACCTGGTCTTGTTCGTGTGGCCACAGCAGGGTCCAAGAGAAAAAGACACACACAGGACCTCTTGAGGTCTCAGTTCACAGCAGCACTTCACTTCTACCAAATTCTGTTAATAAAAACAAGGCCAGATCAAAGGGTTACAGAGTCACACTGCAGGGGCATATATGCAGAAGGAGAAAGAACTGTGGTTTTTCATTTTGTCTTATTTTTGTTAGTAAATCCTCTACTGCATCGTTCTGATGGTGCTTTGCCGCATTTGTTGAATGGATGTATTCGACTCTCTCATGGTCTGGGATGTTTCGGCCGTCTATTTACAAATGTAGCCTGTGTCCCATTCCGTTCCTTTCTCTAGGATTCCAGTGAAGGCCCCGTTAGGCCTCTTACTGTGACCTCCATGTCTCTAACCCTGTCTTCTGTGTTTAGCTTTGGACTGCTTTATTCTGGATAGACTTTTCTGTCCTGCCTCCTAGTTTGTCAGTTTTTCAGATGTGTTTAATCTACTGTTACGAACTTCACTGAGTGAGCTTGGATATAGTATTTCTTAGTTCTATGTTTTTGGTGGTTCTTTTTTCTTTTCTTTCTTTCTTTTTTAAATACGGTTTTTTTAAACTTTCTATTTTAAGTACGCTGCACGCCTGACGTGGGGCTTGAACTCATGACCCTGAGATGGAAAGTCTCATGCTCTGCTGACA